GCGCCATGGTCCACTACCCAGGCTGTACCTTGCACTGCTCCGGTGGGGGAGGAGGGGGACATTCGTTCAGACACTGATTTCAATGGAATTTTGCAATAGGGCGGTTTCAAGACCAGAGCCCCCTGCCCTGGCATCCCTCTGTTGCGGTCACTGGTGATCAGCCAGGAGAACTAAGCATTTTCACGACTGCTCAAGCAGGAATTCAGGGACAGAGTGTCAGGCCCTCCAAAGAGGCCTGCGTGTGACTTCCATCTCCTCTCTCCCGCCAAGCCCCTGACCCGGGACTTTGCCGGAACCCACCCCAGGCTGGGAGGGAAGGGGCGCCGGGTGAGTCCAGGAGGCCATACCATGCAGGAGGACACGCCACTGGCCCCGGCGCAGATCATGAGATTGGTGATCTTGTTGCCCCAGAACTTCTTGCACTCGGTGTTGGACAGGAGGGGCAGGGTCGCCTGCTGCAGCCTGTCAGGGGTGTTGGCATCTGGAAGGGCAGGGTGGGCAGTCAGCAGGCACGGCCCGGCCCCCCACCTCCCACCCACCCGGCTGGAGGGTGCTCACTGGTGTGTTTGGTCAGGCCCCAGCCCGTGGTGACACATAGGGTCCCAGCAGGGAAGTCGTCGTTCTCAGCGGGCAGGCACACGGGGGACACGGTCTGGGAGAAGCGGGCGGGCGTGGCCAGCTTCAGCAGGGTGATGTCGTTGTTGACGGTGAATACGTTGAACTTGGGGTTCTTGAAAACCTTCGGGGTGGGGTGGACAGCGGCGGATGGGGTCCGGGAAGAGGTTGACGGGGGGGCTGAAGCAGGACACCAGGCCACCCCATGTCACCCCAGTGCTTCTGTCTGCACAATGGCCTGTTCGACTTGGCAGCTCCTTCTACAGCCCTGGAAGCCCAAGGCTAGGCCCAGGACCACGGTGCAGACCTTGAACACCCTGCTTTCTGCTTTGCCCCCTCATGATGGGGTACCGGGGTGGTCGGGAGCATCTGGGGGTGTTCAGGCCTTAGCCTGGGCGGCACACTCCTGAGGGCCTGCCCCCCCGCCCTGGGGTCAAGCCTGGACTCCAGGGCCACCATACCTTGGCAATCTTCAGCACCTGGATGTCCTCAGCATCTGAGCCCTGGTCAAACTCCCCAGCCACGACCAGGTGGGAGGTTCTGGAGAGGGCCCGAGAAAGAAGGAGGATCCTGCTGTGAGGCGGTGGGGCCATGCGAGGGGGTGCAGACTGCACGTGTGTGCGTGTGTATCTTTGTGCATATGCTCAGAGTTGTTGATCCAGAGATGGGAGTGCAAAATATCAGTAATTGCCCCCGAAACACCTGCACCTACAGCCTGCCGGGTGTTTCCTTCCTGGTGACCCTTGGGAGACCAGCATGACTTGGATTTTCTACACATTCCCAAACAAGGAAACTGAGGCACGAGGAGTTAAAGGTCCAGCCCTCAGTGCTGAGAGTCTCCCCCCCGACCAAGGGGTTTCCTGGGGACCCTGAGTCCTCACCTGACCCCGCAGTGGGCGGCAGTGACCACCCAGTCCTCGCTGATGAGGGAGCCCCCGCAGAAGTGGAAGCCAGTGCTGTCCTGGAGGAAGACGGGACGGGTCAGTGCTGGCTGGACACCAGCAGCCCCCAGCCTGGCCCCGGGTGGGCCAATACCCCCGTGTGTCCTCCACTCAGGGGCAGAATTCCCCCCTCACCTGCAAGGACACCTGCCAAGGCCAGGAGCCCGGGACAGCGTCCTCCCCATTGACGATCCTGGACAGGCCACTCAGCACGGGATGGATGGTGGGAACCCCGCAGCCTGGGGGTGGGAGTATGAGGTAAGGGATGGAGGCCAAGCCCTCCCCACCCAGGTCCCACTCTCCCAGGAACCCCCAGGGACAACTCAGTCTGACGTGTGCTTCAGCCCAGACAAGCCCAACAGGTTGGCTTTGAGGTGGTGGCCAGGCCAGAGCACGAGATGGAGGCAGGGCTCTGGGGGTGTGAACCCAGCCCCACCACTGCCTCGCCTTACCATTCTGAGCGTTTTCCCATCTGCAAAGAGAGGGTCATATAGCTGCTAACCTCACAGAGTTGGGATAAGGATCCAAGAAGACTTGGATCGGCCGCCTGGGCGGCCCGGTTGGTTGAATGTCCGACACTTGATTTCAGTTCAGGTCATGATCTTGGGGTCCTGAGATCGGGCCCCAAGTCTGGCTCTACGCTCAGAGGGTAGTCTGCTTCTCTCTCTCTCCCTCTCCCTCTGCCCCTCCCCTCCCTCAAACTCTCTCTCTCTCAAATAAATAAATAAATCCTAAAAAAAAAAAAAAAGCAGCAGCAGCAAGAAGACTAAGCAGGCAAAGCAGGAACTTGCTCTCTTCCTGGCACAGAGCAAGGACTCAGTGAACACAAGTTTAAAAGTGCTGGGTTCGAGGGTCCCAAAGGGTTGTGGTGGTCCAGCCACGCCTGCCCGCCTGCTCACCCTCTGAACCTGTTTGGGAGCCACTAGCTGTTCAGAGAATTTTCGCTCCCTCGACTTGGCCTCCCTGTCCCTTGCACAGTGTGCAAGGCCTCAGTCAGCCCCAGGAAGGCCCACCTCCTGCTGGGGGCCTTGCACTGGCTAGTCTGGTCCAATCCTCCCAGCAACCCCATCGTGCTGATGGGGCTGGTGAGGCTCAGAGGGGGAGAGAGACCTGCTCAGGCTCACACCACCATGTGCACCTGAATGGGGAGCAGGGACCCTGTTGCCCCTTCTGGCCCCGGGGGTTGAAGGGGAGCAGAGACATCCCTTCTGGCTTCTGTTTGCCCCGAACTCACCGAAGGCTGTGCCCAGGAGGGCGCAACAGGAGAGGACCCAGAGGAAGGCCATGGTCAGGGAGGTGTATGGTGCCTGTCTGGGGAGCTCCCCGTTATATCCCTGGGCACCAAGCTGTTATCTGCCAACCTTGAGGTGACAGTCCCTTTCTTGGGCATGTGCCCGAGGACATAGAATGTGCCAGAGCAGGGCTAGCATCGGGGCATGGGATGGCAGCACCTGCGGCCCATGGTCGAGCTTGGGTCTGGGTCAAGGGCAGGGCAAAGGTGGGGCCAAACAAGATAGCCATGGGGAAGGGCTCAGAAAACTTGGGCTTCCTCTTCCAGGAAGGGACTTCTGGACACCAGCCTGGCCTGGGCAGGGTTTGAGCCCCAGCCTATTCTCTCACGGGCAGGAGAACCTTGGACAAGTAATTTACTTGGTCTGTTAGTTATTCTAAAGCCCTGGGCAGTGTGGTCAAGGAGGAAGGAGGTGTGGGGACCAAGGTGCTGGTGGCCAGGGCTGAGGATGTTCCCCTGGTCTTGGGGATGGCCAAGCAGTCTCCGTGAAGGTTCCATTCAGTATCTGGGGCGGTCACTTGGGCTATGTGCAGCATGGCTCAGAGGGGCAAGCCGCGCACTGCCTGTTCACACGAGGCCAGGTCTTTTCACCGAGGCGCCATAGGCCCCTGGAATCGAGTGTGTGGCATCCTGGAACCATGGCCTCAGTGAGAGCTGCTGCAGGCTCGATCAGGCAGGAAATGGGGTTTGGGGCGGGGGCAGGCAAGGAGGCCGGCTTCTGGCTTGGGCAACAGGGTGGACAGTGGGGCCCTTTCTCAGCACTTGAGAGTGAGGCTGCCAGGCACAGAGTGAGCCCCGCAAAACACACAAGGAAAAATGGTATCTCATGGCTGCTTTTAATTTCCATCGCACTGATGGCAGCGTGCTCCATAGTACAGATCTCAGCACAACACAGCCGTGCAGACTGGGGCAGGTTGAGTGCCCTCTCTGGTTTTGTTTCTAAGTATGTAAAAGGGGATGCTTGTAGTATGGATCCCACATGATGAAAGGGCATGACCCATCCCGAGCTAGGACCAGGCCTAACACACAATCGGTGCTGGCTGGTCCTCCGTACTCCTTCCTGAAATTCCTATCGGTGCCCTTTCCACATTCTAGCAGACTGTCCGATGACAACGCGGGGTGGCCACACTGTATCAGGTGGGAAAGCAGGGCCCAAAACAGGAGGCAGAGGGTGGCCCCCTCTGTGAGACCATGCTATCCCTGCAAGCCCATTCATTCTTTCCAGCCCAGCTAACCAGGCCCATAGTGGGCTGCAACCAAGGAAAAGAAATTTCTCCTGCTTTTAGCAAGCGTACATGGGGAAAGCAGTGGGAGAATTTAGTGAGAAGAGTTAAAAAAAAAATGTGCATTCCTACCAGCTAAGGAGTTATCGTGATTAATACCGAGGCAGGAGGGCCTCACCCAGAAGGGGACATTTAGGTTTCCGGAGCAGCGGAGTGCGCCAAGCACAGCCCGGGAGCTGTGTCCAGGCCGAGGCGGGAACAAGAGCGAAGGGTGATGCTCAGGAGGCCGCCCGCAGGAGGCAGAGGGCACTGATGAGCCCGGAAGGCAGGAAGCCAGGGCAGAAAGCCCGGGGGCGGGGGGGGGCGACCGAGGAGGGCCCTGGTGGAGACACGGTCGGGAGCGGCTGCGGCCGCCGGGCGCGTCGTTCCACCTGTGGAGCCGCAGTGGCAGCCCCGGGCGGCCAGGTGGCCGCGGCCGCAGGGCTGGC